ATTTTATAGCAGAATCAACTATTTTGGGTTGACTATAATTTAGTTTTTATAATTGAATTGGCTATTACTTGATATGAAGCCACATGATACTCTGTTATACTTGCACGTAAATTATAACAAGAGGAGTGCTATCTGGACTCACTCAAAAGCGAGTACAATATAATGTACCAGTTAAATGGACTGGACCAAAGTATCCTATTTAGTATTTAGGGTAAATATCAGTTTACTACCCTCAAGTTTCGTGGTTTTCAACATTTGGTACATGAAATTTTTTTTTGTCTCAGATTCATACCTGAAGTGTTAATTTTAGGACAGTCTCATACATCTGTTAGTCAAACTGTTAACTTTGCCGTTAATTGATGATGTGGCGCTTATGTGAACAATGAATGGACGTCACGTGTCATTAAGAGGTCCACGTGGAAATTAAAAATTCAAAACAAAAACTAAATATTAAAAGAATTAAAAAAAAAACTAAACTAAACTAAAAAAAACCAAAAAAACCCACCCACATCCAGATCCTTCTCTCTTCTCTCCTCTCCACTGCGCCTACCTCAAACTCAACCATGGCTTCTCCCTCCCCTCACAACTCCAAGATTTGCAACTCCCACCCCTGTGCCACTTGTCGTTCTTCTCCTCCTGCTCCCGGCTCCTCTCACCGCTGATCTGCAACACACTCCCGTCCTTCACCTCTACTTTCACCTCCTCCTTTTTTATCCCCTAGAGATCCGCCTTGAAGATGTGGGCTTTTGGGGTTTCATTCCAGTCGATGCAAGTGTTGGTGATGGCGGTGGTTTCACGAGCAGAGGAAGGGATGTTGGCCATATCGTTGAACCCCTCAAATGGGTCCTAAATGTCCAAAGCGAAGGGGTCGAAGATGTTGTTTCGTCGTCCACCAAAGAGACTGAGAGCCATTAGATGATAGGTTGGAGTTGGGTTTTTGCTGGGTGTGAATTTCTGCTTAGGGGCACTGGTTGATAGGAAGATCTGGGTGTGGGTGGGAGGGTGGGCACGGGGGGATTTGGGGAAGACGATCCAAATTTTTGCTTAGGGACACGGGTCGACGAGAAGACGACGGAAGGTGGGCATAGGGGTGAGAGTTGCAAGTCTTGGAGTTGTGAGGGGAGGGAGAAGCCATGGCTGAGTTTGGGGTGGGTGCAATGGAGAGGAGAGAAGAGAGAATGATCTGGGTGTGGGTGGGTTTTTTTGGTTTTTTAGTTTAGTTTAGTTTTTTTATTTTTAATATTTAGTTTTTTTTTTAATTTTTAATTTCCACGTGAACCCCTTAATGACACGTGGCGTCCAGTCATTGTCCACATAGGTGTCACATCATCAGTTAACGGCAGAGTTAACAGTTTGACTAATAGATGTATGAGACTGTCCCAAAATTAACACTTTAGGTATGACTCTGGGACGAAAAAAACTTCATGTACCAAATGTTGAAAACTACGAAACTTAAGGGTAGTAAACTAATATTTACCCTAGTATTTATTACCACCTTCCGGAAAATTCATATCCAACATATTTGTTTTTATACATAAAATAGTTTAAATTAAATTAATTCAAGTGATGTGATTGTGAATTCGAATTTGAGTGCAAAAAACAAAAAAAACATTGTTCTGACGAATTTAGTTAAGTTCAAGTCTTTTGACTTCTTGGACTAAAACTTGGATGACTGTTAAGAGTACTAATCCCACAATAAATATCTGGAATTTAATTTATAATTTAATTTTATCTCAAATAAAAAATAGTTTCAGCCCATTTTTATTTTTGGCCTTGGCCCAACACTTTGCATAGGACCATTAGGGGGCATTTGTTGCACCAGACTGTTTCGGACTATACTAGCTTTAGAGACTAAGCTGGACTAACTTAGTAAAGCGTTTGGTACAGTGTCAAACTAAAAATCAAAATAATAACAAACTTTAATATTACATTATTTAATACATATCTATTAATTTTTTAAGACATACTTATTAATATTTTTTTATTATGCAACATTTTTCATTTTCTTAAGAACTCTCCCTCTCCCTAGAAACTTCTTTGCTTTTCTCCCTCTTTGACCCCGTCATATTCTCTTCGTTTCTCCTTTTTTTTTTATGCAAAATTTCATATCCTTCAAAACTATTTTCTGCAAAATTTCACATTCCCTAGAAACAAGCTGATGGGTTATTTCTCCCTCTGATCAAGTTATTACTGCCTGGCTTTGTTCCTTCAATTCTTGCTGTTGAAATGTTGAGATGTTTCTTTTATTCAATAATTTGTTTTAATAGCATTTTATCTCCATTTTCAACATATATGAGCTTTAGGAAAGCTTATGTCTGCCCTTGATTTGATTTGCTTCATCAATTTCTCTTTTCATTTTTTTTCCGTGTTTGTAAATTCTTCGAAAGGTTGAGATGTTTGGTCTACAATTGGAGCATGTGGTTGAGACCGTTGTTTTGATTTTGCAGTGCGAGATCGCTGTCTTGCATCTGCAGTGCGAGACCGCTGTTGTTGTTGATGTGCGAAGGACGAGATCCATGGGTCTGAAAGCAAAAAAGGCGAGATCAACGAAGCTCGTAGAGGATTAGAGGAGCGAACGAAGCTGGTCTTAGCAATCCGGCTGTTTTGGGAGGGTCTCGCTAAGACCCTTTAGCGAAGGCTTTAATGAACGCAAGTCCCACCTAGTCCCACTAATGCTAATCCCTAATACTAACAAACACAGAATTAGACTAGATGTTAGTCTAGTCCAATCCAGTGAGGGCTAAGGAGGGCAAACAAACACGTCCTTAGATTACAATCAGCCCAAACAAAAGAGAGAGAGAAGCCACACACACACACACACACACTCTCTCTCTCTCTAACCTACAAACCAACAATGAGAAATTTGTTTTTTCTCGTATCATCATCTACCTTTCCTTCTTATCTCTTACATAAATATCTTCTATCATTGCTGACTAGCGAAGGCTATCTAAGGAGAAGGTGGCGGATTTTTAGAAAACGATGGAAACCTTAAGCAGAAGGTGGCAGTTCATGGTGATTTTAGATTCTGTAACAAGCAATCTATATAGCTGAGTAACCCAACCTATGAAGCAGGTGGTGGAAGGTCTAGGGCTAGGTTCAATCATGACATATTTCCCTATAAATAGATTTAATTTGAGTAGAAACTTCCATAGCAAAGTTCTTTCAGTTTATTTTACACAGAGAGAAAATTTGAGTGAGAACTATGAAGAAGAAAGAAAGAGGTTTAAGTTTGCAGAGGAAGGCTTAAGGGTAAGAATTACTAACTAATTAGTACTTCAGTGCTCGAGGATTTTCATTAAGATTTGACCGGTCAAAACATGTTCAAAAGGGTGCCTTTAAATCCATGTAAAACTCTGTGTAGCTTTTCTGCACATACTTGCTGTTTTCACTCGTGATTTCTCTCATTCCAAAGCTCAGTTATTAACATAATTATACCGTTGGAAAGATGGTTCTTCAAGCTTCAAATAAGTCTAAATTCATAAGTTTTCATTGAGATTTGATCAGGCAAAAGGCTGCTCGTTTTATGTCCACACAAAACTAGAACAAAGTTCAATTTTCTGCAATTTCTCTTTGGTAGGGTTGATGAAGTGATTTTATGTTACAATATTCTTAATTTTGGTTTGTTTGTCATGTTTCTTTTACCCCTGACATTTGGCTTTAGACTCGACGGTGCTTAAGAACTAGGGAAAGCTAAGGAAGAGGTTTTAGCTTGCATGGACTCGAGGTAAGGGATTTAGAGATTAATAATTGAGTAGAATTTTGTAAGTTAATTATATACTTATTTTGATAAAGTTTATATGCTTATGTTTCTATTATTAATTGCGTGATTTGCCAACTTAATTATGAATCATGAATTTGATATCTTGGTGCTTATGTATAAGAATAAGCGTAGAAAAGCTGAAAAAGATGAAGCATAGAAAAGCAGTGGGTCCTGACAATTTATTGATTGAAGTGTGGAAGTTCATGGGAAAGACAGGTCATGGGAAAGATAGGTATAGCATGACTTACTAACCTTTTCAATATGATTTTGAAAATGAAGAAGATGTCCAATGAGTTGCGAAAAAGTACTTTAGTGCCTATCTATAAGAATAAATTCATACAATCCCGTTTAGTGGGCTGGATGAGATTAGGCCTTAGAATAAGATTGGATTGCCAGAAACTTATAAGACAGGTCTTGTAACCCATGTAAAAAGATAAGTTGGATAACTCACTCCATTGTGGGCTCATAACCCATCATATTCAGTCAAGTTGGTTTCATATATGACACAACAAACAACTGACTGAACTCAAGTCTATTTTAATTGATCATAACATATCTCATCTAGCCCACCAAACAGGGCCTAGGAGTACTAGGTTATGAGTCATACAATGAAGCTTTGGGAAAGAGTAATTGAGCATAGACTGAGGCAAGAGACACGGGTATCAGACAATCAATTCGGGTTCATGTTAGGCGCTCGACTAGGGATGCAATTCTTTGTTACAATGATCAATGAAATAATTTAGAGATATGCAAAATGATGTGCACGTGGTCTTTGTAAATTTGGAAAAAGCGTATCATAGGAATACAAGTAGCATATATCAATGAGTGAAGTCTTCAGTGGCGTGTATAGACTATATTCTTGTGGCCTCAAATTAAATTTGATAACCTACACACGCTTTAAACTACTTGATCTCCGAGCTTTTGGTTGCTGGTTCTTGGCCTTCGCAAAAGAAGCTAGAGCCATCATATAACGAACATAAAGATATCCTCGTATTATATTTTTAATCAGATTTTCTACTATTGCACAATCACAATGCAGCTGGTACCTGGAGGTTTTGTGCATGGAAACATAAGCCACGCCTCCCTCGCTCCCTCCCCTTAGCTAGCTAGGCGGCATGGCCACCAGCGACCGGCCACCGGGCAATCAAGCAACTTCTTAATAAAATAGAAAAAACTAGAAAAGAAAAATGAGTTATGTAGAATGGTAAGTTCGGTGACTATTTTCCCGGTAGGTATGAAGAAAAGTTTCCTTTATGAAAAATAACAATATTCATTAGATATACTTCAGACCGTACATCAAAACGTCTACATAGAAATCAAAGATATCAACAGTAAACGTAATAATCTCAGGAGAGAAAAACTAGTACGGAACAACCCCGCTTTATTATATTATAGAATCAATCCATGATTAATGAAACACACACACACATATATATAACTGATCAAGCAGCAGAGCAGATATCTGCAATCTTTCTCATCACTTTTACCTGAGTGTTGAGACACTTGATGTAATGTGCAGCCTCGTCTAACAAGCTGCAAATATCCATGGCTTCCCCACCTGGTACGAACTTTCGAAGTTGGTTCACCTCGCAAACAATACCAGTCTCTTTCTCCTCCTTCTCCTCCTCCTCCTCATCACCGTCATCACACTTCTTCATCATTGTCATCATCATCATCTTCTTACTGTTGTCAGTTCTTCTTGATGAACAATTAAAAATCCGTGAACCCTTGTGGCTTCGATTAATCTTCGTAAGCAAAGCGCGGCTCCAAGCTCTTCTAGTCCCAACAGCCGAAGCCATGGATGCATCAGCAGCATTCTTAACACTCAAATACCTTCTACACATCTCCCTAGGAGAAGGTGGTAGTACATTCGTTGATGATATAGATCTTTGCGTATTTATTCTCTTCAAGGCTTGAAGAAACCCTTTTGCGAACCTAGATTTAAACGTGGTATAATTAGGCCTTAAAGACAAGCGCTTTGGATTCATGGTGTGGAATAGGGTTTTACTCTTATAGGGATGGACCAAAAAGACTAACAAGAGATGGGAGATATAGATTTTATTCTGACACAAGGGATCCTCTAGTTCTTAAAGCTCACAAGGACAAAAGGAGAATCAAGTTCTGACACAAATGTCTATGCATGTTGTGTTTGTGTTTCGAGAGAGGGGTTGAAACTGAGAGGGTATAAAGAGTAAGGAGAACCAGGAATCAAATTTTATTTTTATTTTATAATACAACTGATATTGCAAAAGGAAATTCGAACTCGAAACTTCAAACATCAAAATAAAATTCCTAATCTATTGAGCTACAAATACTTCGTAAAGAATCAAATTCTTTTAAGATACTACAAATAATGCATTAATTTTTCTTGGAGTTTCTACTAGCTAGCTTGGGGTTTTAGGAGGTGAAAAGTGGGTTTTGTGGGGTTGCTAAGGGCCAACTACCATATGAGAGCACATGGTTGCAATACCCACTTGGATTAATTGTGGGGCCTTAATTTCTCATTTCCTCTCTTTGTTCTTTTTATATGGATCTTTCCTAGTAAATCGATACATGCTAACGCTAACTTTGCAATATTTGAAATTTGTAATTTTTGGTCATTCATTTTTGGTAAGCAGTGACCAAATGGTAAAGACAAACGGTGATGACCAAGATCAAACTAAGTCCTACCATCAGGATAATTGTTATGGAGTTCAAATATGTAAGTTTTTATGTTTTAAGGTTTCAATGATCAGTTTAAATCCTACATCTAAAACACTAAACTAGTTATTTTGAACGCACAAAATATATTATAGTAAGAGTTTGTAGCCCAAATGTTTAATAAATTCACCCTAAGCAGTTGAAATTATATACGATGCATTGTTATGGAGTTCAAATTCTCTATTGATATTTATATTAGTTTATGTTTTGAGTTTCTAGTTGATCCTTTGACTATAAAACCTAAATCTAAAACATTTAACTACTCCAAAAACACAAAACGTATCATACTAAGGGCTTGTAGCTAAGTGTCTAAAAGTATTCACCCTAAACACTTAACGTCTAATTTGCAATATTTTCACGTCTTAATATGCTAGTATATATTGTAACAAGAAGAAGAAAAAAACATCAAATAATCATTTTTCATCGGTATAAAGGCACGGTGGTGTTGAAGGATCACGGATCAGGATCCTCTCCTGAGCAGATGGAGAGGATCCTCCTGACCAGGCCCATCGGGTTGTTCAATTTTTATCCAACGGCTATAAGTATTATAACTTTTAGAAGGGCTCTCTATTTGTAGCCGTTTGATACAAATTGAACGGCTCGATGGACCTGGTCAGGAGGATTCTCTCCATTTGCTCAGGAGAGGATCCTGATCCGAAGGATCACACGGCTCCAAGATTTTATCCCAAAGTACTAGTTTTTTTTTTATCAAAAGATAGATTTTGTTAGATTAGATGTTATATTAGACACCAAATTACTAACCTACAAATGTGCATGTTTATGGCTCCAATAAGGATCAATATTTAAGAAAATAGTTTAATAAAGTCTTGCACGAATGCTGGAAGATTACAACATGAATGTTGTAAGATCGTAATGTAAGAGTAAGAAGATTGACCGTTGCATGTGGCTGGCTAATAGTGCAACATTCCAATCCAAACCCAGCAGCAGGCATCGATCTATCTATTACATATAAATATACTCTGAGAGAATGAAAGTGATATTAATATTTTTAATATTTTTATAAGGCAATATTTTTTTAAAAGGAACCAGCTAGTGGCTTCACCACTGCAGTCCACATTTTCAAGGCCTAGAGACAATTTTTTTCAACGGATAAATTTTAGTTACTTTACTTTAATCATATGTCGTATAAAATAGGACCTTAAACAACTTGTAAAGAACAAACTGACAGATAAGCATGCATGCCAAAACGCACACTTGATTGGAGCTTTTCAACCAAAAGAATATCCACTACTGCACTTGATATGATCAGTTGCAAAATAAGAACATGGGTGGGCCTATTTTTTCCTATATAAGATGACATAACCTTCACCAAAATTCTAGAATTAGACTATTTAACTAACTCATAATTAGGCTTAATATTCAAATTAAGTTGGACCAGCATGTGCCTGCCTCCAAATTAATTAATTAATTAGCATTGTTTGTACCACTAATATGCATGCTGACTCATTGTTTGGTGTGTGCATCCTCATTAAGCATACCTAGGATTTCTTTTTAGTTTATTGTTCTGTTGCTTCCTATTAATAGAATACTCTTTGTCAATTAAAAAGCGAAAAAAATACTATTACACCCTTTCATGCATAATAATTGAGAGAAAATATTAAAAAAGAAAATTCATGGTTATTACACCCTCTCCAACTCCTCTCTCTTTCATATATATCTTTTATATATCTTTTTAAGAAAATGATGATAATGGATTAGACGAGTCAAGCTACACATAAGACTTGGTTATTAGTCTACCAAAGTAGTCTTACTCCCTAAACCCACATAAGGGGGTCATAAAGAACTAGGACCCCGGGAATTGGTCATCAACTACAAAGTAGACTACTTCCTTCCTACTCAAAGCAATTAGAAATTGTTAATTCCCCAATAGAACAACCCCCTATCATCTATCTCTGAATTTTAGTAAATAAAAAAATAGCGATAAAAATAAAATCCAAGCAGGGGGAGGAAGCCAAAACCAAAGGAAAGAATAATACATCACTGGAAAAAGAAAACTGGATGAAGAAAGAAAAAATTCCTCGAACCACATTCTCAAACCAAGCCAAGCGAAAGTGCTACTAAACCACCTTGATGATCAACTTCATAATTAGCTAAGCAAACCATCACCTGAAAGCTACGATATGCATTAATTTGAGAAGCAGAAGTCAGACAAGCCAACAAATTCTGAAAACAAAGCAGCATGAACACCAACAAAGGAGAATCATGCAAACCAAATTAGGAGAAGACAAACCTATATTAGCAAAGCTATCTGCAACAACATTCTTCTCTTGAAGAGATCAACAAAAAGACATCTTGCGAATGCGGGCCAAGCAAGTAAACCTTTGCATACGAAGAAGCAAAGGAGAATTAAAATCATTCAAACAGAGAACGGAAATAACACTAAAAAGTCACTTCCAACCAAAAACAATGCCAACCCCTCTAATAAGAGAATTCAACACCAATAATAATTGTGTAACAAAGAAGAATTGAGATGGCCAATACCCTGATAGAAACCACCAAGAAACCGACTACGACAATCCCTAAAAATGCCCTCGCAAGTAGCATGACCAGGATTTGCTTTAGTCAAACCATCCGTACTAAGTTTAATCCAAGATAACAAGGTGTAGGCCATAACACGGAAAGAATAGTAGTCTGAGGAATAAACTGAACCCTATAGAAGAAATGATACGAGTATCTAAACCTTAATAGTATCCAGGAATAAACCCTTTTGCCGTGAACAAGCCCAGAAATGATAGACATGTAAAGACAATGGATAGAGATTGAACGGCCCTAAAAATAAATTGTTTCGATCTTTCCAAATAGATGAAATAGTTAAAAAGACCCTCAAAGACGATCGATGAAGTGAGAATTTGCAGAGACGATCTTTCTTCTCACTAAACAACTTTTTTTGTTGTAATGCCTTCACGTATATAATACAAACAGAAGGTCGGAGCTACAGGCGTGTTGCAGGCAACCCTACTGTTGTATAGATTTCATTGCAACCATAATGTATACCTTATACAATCAATGCGGATGGTTTTTACCTTGTAAATCTCATCCCTACTGTTGTATATAGATTGTATCAAAACTCACTAGGATCTCCAACTCTCTCATCCTTCAATTATGAAGGTGGACTACTAGTATAGCTATCCTCATAGTAAACCAGCATAAAATCAATGTTGATCAAAGATTCTTTTTCTTATAATAAAAGCGATTTAGAGTGTTTCATTAATAAGGCCAATCAAATACAAGAGGTGCCAGATTTGCTTCAGTGACCAATTTTTTATCTGGAGATAATTCGCACACTCACAAATAATTTTAAACCCCTATACGGCTACCACAATGGACCAACACAACTAAAGATCCCGAAGCAGATTTGTCATAAAAATACATGGCATACCACAGTCCTTACTGTTTGGAGTAAACAGAAGAGGTTGCTTTTTTTCTTTTCTTTCCTAGCTGATTATTTTGTTCTGCACTTCATTAATTTAAGAGTATGAATGTAGGGGACTCTAGTTTAAGACCACATTAAGTGATCACACGAGATAACCATAGTTGATATAATAAGTACATATCAACATACCTCCTCAATCTTCATGTAGTTGGCTAGCTAATGTATATCTTTACAGTTTTGATAATTCAAATCAAAGAAGGATAAATACATCCATGGGCGGACAGAAGTCATGTCACTAGCATGCATAAAAGTTGGGTTGAGAAAAAAAAAATATGCTCCTCTCCATAGTTCAATTAAGTCCAAAGCTCTAAGAGAATTTTGATGAGATAAGCAGAGTGCTATATTCAGCAATCCATCTAGTAAGGGACAGTTGTCATACCTAGAATGTGAACTAGTACATAATTTATTGTCAAGAGTTCATATTGTAACCACAAAGAGCCAATAAAGTTCCAAGAGGAGGTACATTAACAACATCTAGAAAATAAAGTATTCTCTCAACCACTTACAGTAACAAAGGGTCAATACAGATACTTGCGGCTTAGCGCCAGCAAGCGTACTTAAACCAATTATATTATCAACGCAAAACAAATTTAAAATTTTAGGTATAAAAAGCTTAATTTGGTAATTGGTAATGGTATCCCCTAAACAGAAAATACTGTTCCTAAATACATAATAAAGCTATCCAAGTCGCCTCCTGATGGAACACTTGCTATATAAGCGAGAACACTAGCTAGCTAGCTACGACCCCAAACAAAATGTCTTTAATTAGTTACAAGCAAAGAAATTCTAAACTAAATGCATACATAAAAATAAAAATAAAAAATTATATATATATAAGAAACAATTCTACATGCATACACATCCCAACTATTGCAAGCAGACCTGGGGATTCGTTACTACATACTTATTATCTGCATGGACGCAAATATATAGCCAAATCCAGCAGATGCAAATTAATGGCCGGAGCCTCCTCATCAAGTCTGTACTAAACAAAACATATGGAGCTATGTGTCTAAACGTTACTTTCCACAGCTATGCTTGGTCTTCCTCATATAAGCCTTGCATGTAGGCTTTTTAATGGTTTTTCTTTTCCTGGTTTCTTTCAGTTTAGCTTTTGGATACAAATTAACCATATTGGGAGGGGGGACTCGAACTCGAGATCGTAGGTGCAAAGGAGATTGCTGTT